CTCTGGGTTTTTTGTCTTTCCATATGAAGTTGAGTATTGTTTCTTTTGAGGTCTGTGAAGAATTGTGTTGGCATTATGATGGGGATTGCACTGAATCTGTAGATGGCTTTTGGTCACATTGTCATTTTTACTATGTTAATCCTACCTATTCAAGAGCATGGGAGATCTTTCCATCTTCTGTTATTTTCTTTAATTTCTTTCTTCAAAAACTTGAAGTTCTTGTCATACAGGTCTTTCACTTGCTTGGTTAGATTATCTATTGTCTGTGTTTTCATGGGTATAGTTAACTTCCTTGGGTTGGAGGTTTCCTTCTAGTACTTTCTGTAGGGCTGGATTTGTGGACAGGTATTGTTTAAATTTGGTTTTGTCATGGAATGTCTTATTTTCCCTGTCTATGGTGCTTGAAAGTTTTGCTAGATATAGTAGTCTGGGCTGGCATCCATGGTCTCTTAGTGTCTGCCAAACATTTATCCAGGACCTTCTGGCTTTTGGTGCCTCCATTGTTAAGTCATGTGTAATTCTGATAGGTCTGCCTTTATTTGTTAGTTGGCCTTTTTCCTTTGCATCTCTTAATATTCTTTCTTTTTCTGTATGGTTAGTGTTTTGATTATTATATAGCAAGGGGAACTAAAGCTGAGCTCAGAAGGCTGCTCCTACCCTCAAATCCATCAGTAGCCAATAGTTTAATAAGGACGAATAGTGGTTCATGGATTTCTCCTAGATCTATGATTGACTATTGATGGGCCCAATCTGGTATAGGCTACAAAAAATGTAGATTCATTTCTTAAAAGGCTTCTGTTCATCCTTGTGATGACCATGGCAAAGACAAATGTACCAAAATACTTCCCCCAGAAAGTATTAGAACCATCACAGCAAACATTCTTACTGAAGGTGTCATTGTAGCTTTTTCTAATGTAGATAAAACTTCTATTCAAAAAATTCCAGTGGGTTTTGAGGTTATTTTAATGAGAAACACTAGGAATATAAAACTGAGGACACTATATGTGACCCTGAAATGAACCAAGTCAAAACACTTGGGAATAAAGTGACAGATTCTGTCATTCAGGGTTTTAGTAGCAATGGTTTTCAAAGGTAGAAGTTGGGGACAAGAAAAGATTTGGCTTCACAAGGAACAGTTGTCAATTTCTAGATATTTGTAGTTGTTATCATTTGTGGGGTGCTGTTGGCTATTAGCAGGGCAGAAACCAGAGACACTGTTAAACACCTCTATGGCATGAGACAAAACCCACAGCCAAGATGCATCCAGTTCAAAATGTCACTGGTGCTGAGGTTGGGAAACCCTGGTCTTGAGTTGACCATTGGCTTTGCTACATTTTTCAGACCAGACTAATCTATTCATATTGCATCACTCCAGAAGCCACCAAAGTAATTGCCAGCTCATGGGCCCATGCTCTATTAGTTGGCCTATCTCCTCCTCATTGAACCTTGTGTAGTTTCAGCTTTGTCAGTGTGGCTTCAAATTCAGTTCTGTCCTTACCATTTCTAAAAGTTCCCTTGCTCCTAGAGAGCCTGTGTACATCAGAACAAAGTAGCTTTGGTTGTTTGGTTACTACTGGGTTGCTGTAGCTTCCAACATCTCTAACCATTGCATCCTGGGTTCTAGGTTGAGGCTTTCTTACATTAAGATTTGAATTTGAATCCTATCCTGGTCAGTAGCTTCAAATTTTTGTGAAAGATACTTGCTTTATAAAAAAACAAAATGCCAACACCAATGATCCCACTTCATAAAATTCTTTCCTCCTTAAGGGATGATTGTGGTATGAGCATCTTGTTCTTGTGTGCCTTGGAGCTGAAAGTATTGAAGCCCTTGTGTGAGAATTCTCATGAACCATGCTTTTCAATAGAGCTGCTCCTTAGTAATGAGACAGCATGCTCAAAATAAACAAATTTCAGGCTCTACCATTTGGGATTCTAGTTTCATGATCTGGAGTGGGCTGAGACTTCTGTAGTTGTAAGTTCCCACTGGTTTAAGTACTGACCCCTTTCCAGCACACAACCCTTATCTTTAGGCATGCCTACTGCTGCCTCCACCATTATTAGCCTGCCCCATCCTTAGTGCCCCAAACCCCTTCTCTCCATCCACTGTTCCTAAGAAATAGGGGCATAAAATGAATACAATGAATTGGTTGAAAGTTTTATTTTTTCTGATAGAATTTTTAAATCCCATAGACATAAATTTAGTCACAAACCAGAAAAGCAAAACCATAATATTTTAGTCTTAGCTGTAAAGTCAGTAAGCAAGGGTCCTTTTCTGCAGGCAATGTTCTTCCTCTTAATCTCCACTCATAAGAAAGTCTCATATCTGTGTGTGTGTCTTCATATATTATGCACTGACTAAAGAAACAAATGTAACAATGGCAGGTTGCTACATAGAAAACTCAAGCAACCAATGAATGCCACTTTAAATAATTCTCCCAACTAAGTATTTGCTGGGCACTAAATAGGTACTGGAGTCAAAAGCAGCACTGATGTTAAGAAGCTTGAGCTACAATCTCAGTGTAACTTGGAAGCTGATTTTTGGTGCATCATCTCCTTCCATCCCTTTCTTATTAGGGAAAAACCATCATCATTGTGATTTTGCACTTAAGTGACTGGTTTTCTGCAGATCTGTCTATATGGCAATCCAAAACAGACAAAGAAATCTCACTGCTGCTTGACCATCTTCCAATACATTGATTTTTTTATTGAGAAAGCCTTCTAAATATTGGCACTTATTAAACCTAATTAAACTAAACACCACTGGGCACATCTTGTTTAGAAGGTTAGTACTGTAGACCACAGGGTTCACAATTAAGTAAGACCTTGATGCATTTTTCTACCCCTAGCTCCCCATATAGCTCAAAATCTACCCCAGCTTTAGTCAGAGAATCCTTTTTGGTGAACAGTAGTAATCACAAAGATGCAGAGGTATTCAAGGTGCAGAGAATAAGGTACAGTTAGATATTTATCTGCAAATACCAGTTGTAAATAGACCAGTCTTCTAAAGCTCAGGTTATAAATGAAGATGGGGAGGAAAATGTAATAGCCAGAAGAAGAAGGCTTATGAAATCCTAACCTCTTGGCATATACAGCATAGCCAATGCTTCATAGCATTCATGTAGCCATCACCAGTCAGTCATGGATCAGAGAGGTGCTCTCTGCACTCTACTCCTTCTGAATTATTGGAAATGGATTCTATAGGAGGGGCTTGTCATTATCTTCAGTTGTGGACCCAAGTAGTTGTCATCACCAGGCTCCAGTGTGTAGTTTCAAATCTGTGTCACACAGGTGTGCTGTTTAACTCTGAAGATCTAAACAAACAAACAAACAAAAAACAAAGACCACAGCAAAAAGTTATGCTTGTGGGATGGGAACTAATAGGGATGAGGGGACACGGTAAGAGCAAAATGGAGACTAATCACAGAGTTACAGTATCACAGAGTGCACATTATACATGTATAAAATTGTCAAGTAACAAACTCAATAAAAATTTTAATTTTTACACTACATTAAATTTCCATCTTACCCTAGTTGGAGTAGCTATCATCAAAGAAACAAACTATAAATGTTGAGAATATAGAGGAAAAGGAACCCTTATACACCATCAATAGAAATGTATACTGATGCAGTCACTACCAAAATCAATAGGAGGCTTCTCAGAAACCTAAAATTAGTATTACCATGTGACCCTTGTGTACGACTTCTGGGTATATACCTGAAGGAATTTAAGTCAGCAGACCAAAGAGATGTCATAACAATAGCAAAGCTGTGGATTCAGCAGCCTATATATTCATCTACAAATGAGCAGATAAAGAAAATAAAGTGTATATACATAGCAAGACAGTTTTGTTCTATGATAAAGAAGATGCCATTTGCAGAGAAATGAATGGAGATTGGGACCCAGATGTTAATCCAAACTCAGAAAGCCAAATATTGCATGCATTCATTTATATGAAAAATCTAGATTTTTTTTTAAAGCATGAAATTGAAGGGAGAGTATTTGGAAAGAAGAAGGTGACCAGCAGGCAAGGGAGGGATGGTAATGGACAGTGTGACCAAAGGACATTATATGTATATACAAATATGGCATAACAAAGGCCATTGTTTTATGTGATTAATAAGACTAGTAAAATGGAGAGAGAGAAAGAAAATTGAATGTTTGAGTGAGTCTCCCAAGACCACAACCTGAGTAACTGTCACCCCGAGCATGGAGTCCTGGTTGTCACAAAAGATACTCTGCCAAATTCTCATAGTTTTGGGGATTGTGCTGGGTAAACTTTCCAGCAATAGCCTCACATTCCCTGAACTTGTACCTTCCTGGACTCAGATGTGGCTTCAGATGAAACCTCCTGTGCCTATTTCAGCATGCAGGTTCCTCTCCTTCAAACTTGACAAGGACTCTCCTCAGAGTCCTTGACATCTTCTAACATGTCTACAAGAAAGCACAAGCCTTTGCACTGTTTCCTGTCTCTTGACCTCTAGAATCGCTCATGAACTGCCCAGGAAATTTGAGTTCTTTCCAGAAACAGGGTTCACTTGGAACTACTCTCACTTTGGAAATCTGTTGCTCCGTGGGACACACTGCTGCCTCCTGCTGACAGAGAGCAGCCAGTGACCACAGCTATTACCCTCAGCTCTAATCAGGGAGAGTTTCATATTAAGGAAAAGAATGTGATTGTAATTAGTAATGCTCCTTCTTTCCCTCAATAGGTATTGCCCAGTCAAAGCAATACTCTCTGGTGAGTTGCCAAGGAGCAACCACAATGCAAATCTTCAGGAAAGAAAGAAAGAAAGAAAGAAAGAAAGAAAGAAAGAAAGAAAGAAAGAAAGAGAAAGAAAGAAAGGGAGGAAGGGAGAGAGAAAGAGAGAGAGAGGAAGGAAGGAAGGAAGGAAGGAAGGAAGGAAGGAAGGAAGGAAGGAAGGAAGATACCTAAGGAGATGGCAACAGAAATGTAGAAATGTGACTAACGAGCTGTATTGTCATCTAACTTGTTTCACAGGTCCGAGGCACTGCTATGGTTGGCTCTGATATGGTTGTGACTGTTGAGTTCACTAATCCTTTAAAAGAAACGCTGCAAAATGTGTGGTTTCATTTGGATGGTCCTGGGGTGACACTACCCAAGAGAAAGATGTTCCGGTAAGTACCAGGACAAGGAGGGAAGCAGTGAAGAGCTCTCTCTCTTTCTGTATATAGATAGATATGTATATCTATCTGTTTGTCTGTCCTTCCATATGTCCATCCATATGTCCATACATCTGTCTGTCTTAATCTGCCTATGTATCTATCTCTCCTATCTCTCTGTCTCTTTATCTTATATATAATCCCAGTGAAGATGTCTGACAAGTTGCTCCTCCTTATGGATTATTTCTGTGGGGTATGGTAGAAGCAGGTTGGTCTAACACTTCTATTAAATCCTTTATACCACATTGCCGAGGTAGAGGCAGGGACATGGGACTTCAAGAGGTAGACTGGTTAGCTTCCATGACACATATGAGAGTAGAGTCAAAATTCTAATCTAAGGTGACTCATGCCAGAATTCAAGTTCAGACCATTTTGTCACACTGCCTCTTCAGGAATCAATCAATGCTCCTTGAATATCTTCAGTGTGTCAATATGATGGTAGAAGACATCCCTTATCGTAGGTCTTGTCTTTCCAACTCCATCCTCCAGATTTTACCAACAGTCACATTCTAGAACTGTTGGCCTCTGTTGCTACTCTTTTAGTTGAGCCTAAAGAGTTCTAGACTTGGTTCTGGCTTTAAGACAAAGACTAGTTCAGCCTACATAGTAATGTGAATAGACTTCTGCCTCTTCTATACCCAGCATCACCATGCAAGTCTGTCTCTGTCACCTCTCTTAACAGACTGATGCTCACACAGAAGTTCATTCATGATAAGGTCACTCTAACTGCAGAGGCAACTCACCCTTTCTATGTTCCCATCTTACCTGTGATGCTAATTTCTTGACTGGAACAACATAAGGCCCATTTCGCTTCATCTGGTGACTTGAAAATGTTTATAGAAAGATCTCTCTTCTTCCTTGAGTCTTCCCTACCAGGGACCAAATAACTGTTCTTTCTTCATCTTTCCCACCTCTAATGTGATGCTCGCTCCCTCCCTCTCTTTATACTCCAGTTTGTCAGTGTTCCTTTTAAAGTGTGACATCCAGAATGGATCCCAATCTTTGAGGTTTATTACTTTCATTTCTACCACAAATAAGTCCCTGTCAACATCAATCAATCTAGCACATTTCTTGGGGGTGACCTTCTTAGGCATAGAAGACTCTGGAAACTGCCTTATGATCATATATTCTGGGAATTTTCCCAATGCCCTTGGTAGAAGTCACCCCTCTCTGTAAGCTGTAGTACAAGCACCTGACCTCACTCAGCCTTCCTGAAGCACCTTTATAGACCACAAAACACTCCCCACATTTCTTTTCAACCACAAGGCTTACAACTTCTGCATCCCATCATTTCAGAGTAGCCTTATTGCAAATACAATACACAATAGAGAAAATTATTTGAGTGCTTTTTGAAAAATGCAAACACAAGCCATAACAACCTCCCTATGCTAATAAGAAAGTTGCAGGGAAAAAAGAATTAAATTAGAAATCAACGCCAGCTAGAGGAAGAGGTCAATAGCAATAGCCCTGCTTCCATCAGAAACGAGGAGTCTCCCTCACCCATTCTCACACCTTCCCACTCCAATTAGATGCAGGAATTGCTCAGGCAAAGTGAAACATGTTCTCTTTTCTGAACGGCTGCCTGCTGTATCCAATTTTTCCTTCTTAGTAACACAAGCTTACTCCAGGGTGCCAGAAAGTCCTGTTATACCTGCACTTTGACTGTCCCGGGAATTCTAGGTTGATCGAGGCCGGCATATATGCTATGGTTTGTAGAAGTGACCCATAATGTTTCACTAGATAAAAGTCTTGGGCGGGGAATAGAAAGGAAGGAAGGAAGGAAGGAAGGAAGGAAGGAAGGAAGGAAGGAAGGAAGGAAGGAAGGAAAGAAGGAGTACTTGTTCTGATATATGTTCCCACCATGGATATGACACTTTCACTTGAGGCTCAAAGTCTTGAAGCTACACAACCTAGGACTTGAGCCTTCTGAGCTGTGAGCAAAAGGTTTTTAACTTCATGAATAGCTTATTCAGGCACTTCATTATAGTGACTGAAATCTGACTAATACAGCATGCAAAGACATACTATGTCCCATAAAAAAGATGAATCTACATAATAAAATGACCTACCATATGGGAGACATAGAGGTCAAAGCTCACAAAGTCTAGGAGTTTTGGTTAATATCTGATAATGGAGTATGAAGAGTTGGGAAAATCAAGGAAAGGAGGCATGAAGCCAGTCCCCATAAGGAAGCTATCCTCCCTACACCTTAGCTTAAAGTATTATGAAGCCTGTATAACTAACACCTAAATTTATGGCAGATGGGCCCAGGGACAGGCAGCTAGGATGTCTGTGTTCATCAGCTAAGGATGCTACCATAGACATTATAGTGATTGAGAAGTTGTACAACAGACTTTTATTGATCATTGTTCTGAAGCCAGGGTAAGTCCAAGTCAAGAGCCCGCTAATTGGGTGCCTATTGAGGACTCCTCTTGGCTGGTGTATAGTCCTCTCCTCACCAAGTTTTCTCATGGTAGAGTGAGAACGTAAGCAGGCACTCTGTACCTCTCTTCCAAGTCCTCAAATCTTATCCCAAAGGCCATACTCTCACAACCTTAGCTAATTATTTTGCAACAGATATATTTTGGGAAAACAAAATATTCAATCAATCGTATACCTTGATCTCTTATAAAAACTCAGACCTACAGTATTAATCTCTCCAAGCAAGGGAAGCTTTCTTCCTCAGAGTCAGAAATTAGGGAATGCAGGGGTGGGGTGGGATGGCATCAAAAAAAAATTGTTCCCAGGACTTGGAGTGAAAACTTTCTCTGTTTCCTCCTACCTTAGGCATACATGATTTTCAACTAAGACCAGAGGCAACCAGCACCCACACCCATTGTATTGTTAGTATTTAGGCTGTTGTTTACACCCTCAGCTGCAGCCACTAAGAACACCACCTGTGCCTATACACTATGTTCCCTTTTAAAAAGTCCCTGCCCACCTCCCATCCTTCTCTCTCTCTCTCTCTCTCTCTCTCTCTCTCTCTCTCTCTCTCTCTCTCTCTGTCTCTCTGTCACATTCTCTTTCCTCTCTCCTGCTGCTCCTGTCCCTGAAGGACAGTCTCCCCCCTCCCCTTTCCCCTTTTTAAAATCCCTTTCCCCTAATAAAAACTCCTCCGCTTGAACTCTGTCGCATGGCATCTTTCTCGTGCCATTTTTTAATTACAACGCCCATAGGACCAGATAACTAGAAGCATTCTATTGTGCTTAATGGTACTCCTAGATGTAACCTAAGAGTACCAAATTCATGTAACTACTTGAACCCCCTGTATAATTTCATAAGCCCTTCACAAGGCTATAAGGGCTCTGACATCTTAAATCTTAAATACTCACCTCTCTCCATCCCCCAGATCTTTGTCTGCTTCATATCTACTACAAAGAAGCTCTCAAGCCTGAGGTAGAGGACCTAGGGCAGAAACTAGTAAGCCAGGAATCAGAGCCAGGGATACAGAAAGCATTACTGTGTCAACTTCCCCACTCAGCTCAAACCAACATTACTGTGTTTCTGTGTCATGGTTTACCTTCTGATACCTAGCTCTCAGCCCAGCTGTCGAACTTGTCTCAGGCATTCAGAGGTCCTGCTTCTAGTGACCCTTAGCCTTTAAGTTGGATACTTCCAGAATATTAAATAATAATTCTTCTAGATTCTTTTCTGTTTTTAAAACCATAACCAGGTTCAATGAATTAATTGAAGAGAAAAAAAACACCCCCAATTTGGTGATCTGACTTTACACTTAAGCTCTCAGAAGCTAAGAGAGAGAGAGAGAGAGAGAGAGAGAGAGAGAGAGAGAGAGGAGGAAGCCTAGGTGCTTGCTGCTCATTGTGATGGTGACTGCATTTGCCCGTGTGCGTTTGGGATGATAAATGGCCAGGACATCCTGATGGCTCAGCACATTCCACAGCATCATTTTTCACAACGTTTGTACCCAGGAAATAGGTTTATTCCAACCTTATTCCACTGACTGAAATGAACAGAGGATTTTCCTTCTTTCTGCTGGGCATTTATCTATGAGCAAAACGCTCCGCATGTGAATTTTCATATCTGAGTAACTTCATCTGTACACCTATTATACAGATGATTATGATAGCAAATTCAAAAGAAGAAACAAGGATGAAGACTTTGTTTCTGTGGGAGGTAATTTCCTGCATTATATTACATCAGTACATAGTAGACCCTGAAGGGAGGGTAACTTTTTTACAAGGTGGGAGATTGAGTGATTATATGGGAAACCCCAGATGAGAGAATGGGTGGATCCAGGTAGCAGCAGCAGAGCTGTTTTGAAATAAATATCATAAATTTACATTGACATTGAATTCATCACTGTACATTAAAAACTGGGCAAGGTGTGTCTACATGCAGGCAGAAGGAACGGCCCGAAACAAATAGGGCTCCAGCAGAGCAAGCCGCAACCACCAAGATGGAGGTGACATTAATAATAACAATGGTACATTTCTAACATTTCTTGCCATAATTTTGAGGGCAGAACAACTATTAACTTTCTCTACTTGTTCTTGCCCTGTGATACTTAATACTCATCACCTTTCATAAGGAAGCAATAGTGAAGTCGGTGTTTTTCAAACTTTGTATCATGAAGTCAGTTTGAAAACAATACTTATATAGAGATTATGAGTTTCACATAATTTTGTTTCTGTTAGACTGGTTGAAATAATGTGGAGAGCCACAGCTACAAAGAATGTTAAAAAAAAACAAAACATTAACTTCTACAAAATCAATTCGGACATTTTCATTATCACTATGAATGCAACACCTGGAGCACTGAGAGTGGTTTCATGGTTCTTCCCACCCCCTGGCTGTGCACAGAGGAGAAAGGGGGTTTCTTGTTCTGTGTTTGGGGCTATGTTAAGTGGCTCTTCCCAGCACTATAGCAAAACACCTGACAGAAGAAGAATTTATTGTGGCTCACAGTGTCAGAGGTGGTGGTTTATCATGGAGGAAAAGGCATGGCATCTTGGCTCAATGGTTCTATCCAGGAACAGGCTGTCACTCTCAGAAGTGCCACTCCTAGTGACCCTTCTCTACAAGCTGCCCCTGCTCCCACTGAATGTCTCCACAGCAGCTGGGGGACTGTGAGCCCTGTAGTGAACCTTTCACATTTAAACTGTATCGAGAGCTCATTCTCTTCTTGCCCCAGAGCATATGGTACAGCAAGCATCTGGAATGCAAATCATTTTGCTGACTTTAGGTGATATTTTAGTGTTTTAACTTTACACCAAAGAGGTCAAGTAAAGACACGTGGCTCCATATCTCTTCCTTCCTTTGACCCTGTTTAAAGTGATTCTGGAATCCCAAAGACAAGTGGAAACTCGTACGACTGCAGCCTTTGGGCTACATATGGCTGTCTTTAGCAGTGGCCCTTCCTGGCTACTCCTTCCTAAACTAAACAGTGCCACAGTGCCTTTGTCTCTGGGTCATTCCAAGTGTCCAGGAGAAAGGGCCTGTCTCTGGCCCTTGAGACCTCTCTTGGCAATCATCAGTACTGACTACAAAATTTCTTGATGACTTGGGTCCTTCTTTGTTGGGAACAAGCACTGTTTTCTGGTCCCCAAACATATCTCTGCTCTTGAGAGATAGTCCGTCATCTTTTCCTCATCCTAGTTTTTCCACAACCCCAGCTCCCCTCCTAAGCTGGACACTGATATGAACAGTGAGATTCTTGACTGGCTCAGTCAGTTTGAGATAGGCCCCTAGATGTCTGTCACCATTTCAGTATCTAATTCAAAAGGCAAATCCTGATAATAACACTTTTCTCTAACTGAGCATGGTGGTGCATACCTATAATGCCAGCACTCAGGCAGCAGAGGCAGGTGGATCTCTGTGAGTTCAAGCCCAGACTGTTCCACAGAGCTAATACCAACACATCCAGGGCCACACAAAGAAACCCTGTCTTGGAAAATACACAATCCCTGCCCCCTCCCCCAAACCAGAACAACAACAACAACAACAACAACAAAAAAAAAAAAAACAGAAAAAAGTGAACACCTTCCTAACTGAATGGATGGGTAGGATGCACAGTTCAGAACCATGCCCTGCTAGTTCCCTTTCTCTCCTTCATCCCCATTCTTACATTTCCTTAATCTGGGTAAGTGCTCTTAAGGAGAAGTGAGGTGTCCTGCTCTTTCATATGGTTAGATAAGCATTCGTTTATACACAGTCATGCTTATTCAATGCTAACCCAAGCAGGCCTTCCGTCTCACATGCCTGGGGAAGAGGGCTTGGCACAGAACTCAGCCTACTCACTACGGCCATCAAAACTGCTTATGGTCCCAGTTAGCAGATTTACTCATCTATAGCAAATGACCACCAGCCATGTGGTGGTGTCCCCTTCACTTCCTGCTTAGCCCCAACTCAGATTAAAGCCCAAGGAATGTCCTTGCCTCGATGTCACCATAACATGATAATCTGGTAAAAATTCCATCACACTATGAATTTATCTGGAAAAGATTATAGACAGAAGATCAACTGAATCAGTCTTCTGCTATCATCTAACGAAGTAAAAGATCGGGTGCAGCTCAAATGTCAGCTGCTATTTTCTGAGTCTTATACTCTGTGCCCAGTGATGTTTGCTAAGATGTAAGCTGTTTGCTAGGATTGTTTCATGTAAATCTCACAACAGTTCTACAGGGTAAGTACTGTATGAGTCCCACTTGACAGACAAGGCAGAAGCTGAATAGTTCCTTGAGGTACACAGCAATCAAGTCAAAGAGTCAGGTCTGAGGCCCAAGAGTCCCAACTCCAAGGTTCAAGGAGCTTTCAATCACAGGGCAGTTTTGTATCAGTCTAGACACCAGGCACTGCAGGTTGCTTAGATGGTAGTGTCTGAGTTTTTAAGTGATTAAATTAATTCCAATTTTCTCTTCTCTCTATAGCTCCACCTGACAGGCAACCATAACCATGAAATAAACCCCCCCACACACAATAGTATTTATTTTGGAACCCTGCTATGACCAAAATCGTTTTCCTTGGTATTCTTATACAATCAAAAATTTCATTTTTCATAATATTTAAGCACGTGAAACTACTAAGAATTTACAGCACCGTTGGGACTCCAAGCCCACAGGAACAACACTGGCATGCCAGGGAGCCCTTTGGAGCAAGTCTGCCCTGGGTAGCCTGTGTTGAGCCACCTGCAGGTGGAAGTCACCAATTCTGCTCTGGTCTTTTGACAGTTCCCCATTCTCCTACCAGACGTTCAGGCTTCTGTGAAATTCAACATACCACATAAGCAAGACTCTAGAAAGAATCCACAGCCGTCTCCAACTCCTGTTCTCTTATCTGGGCCATTAGGTTCAGGTACTGGTGATTCTGTAGATTCCATAGGACCTATTTTCTCATCTATAAGATAGGATATTGGATTAAGTCATTTCTGGCATGCTGTTCCTCCATAAGTTTCTGAACGCAACAAGCTTATGTGTATGTGTGTTTGTGTGTATGTGTCATTTGCGTGTGCATGTTCCTGTGTGTGTGTGTGTGTGTTTATATGCATTTGCTTGTGAAGGTCTGAGTTTGACATCAAGCATCTGCCTCAATAACTCTCCAGCTTATATATTGAGGTAGGGTCTCTCACTGAACCTGGAGCTCACTCTTCTGGTTAGTCAGGGCAGCCAGCCTATTCTAGAGATTCTCTGTCTCAGTCTCCTGTGTGCTGGTATTGCAACACTCACCATTGTTAGTTAGCTAACTAGCTAGCTAGTTAGTTAGTGGTTAAGTTAGTCTGCTTTTCTGTCTGTTTGCTTTGTTTGTCTTGAATCGGGTTCTGGAGATCTAAATTCTGTTCTTAATGCTTTCATAGCAAGCACTTTACTCACCTGGCCATCTCCCCAGCCCTCTGTTATTTAGTCTCCTTTCCACTCTCCCAACAAAAACTGTCCTAGTTTCCAGGCAACCCAATATTTGCCATCCTCAAAGGTCAGAAAGCCCAAGCCAGGAATCTTCTTTGTATAACTCTTGCGAGGGAGCTCTTCATACAAAACCAACCAAAGTCATCTGCCTTCTTGGAGTAATACAAGCAAAATGGTCATAAAAGGCATCGATTATGGACTGTAGTATGAAAGGCAATGTTCAGTTTTAGACCAGAGAAAGGAATGTTTACCTTGGTCAGACCTCTTCTCTGCCCATTCGCTAATTATACAATCTTGAAAAAGTGACCTCCCTGGTTTAACTGTTAACTAGCTACCTAAGGCATTGCATACATATGAACTTGCATATATTATCTCCTTCCATGTTTATATGGATGTGTGAAAAGCACCCTAGAGAAGCTTAAGTATCTCCCAGCCCTCATTAATACCAGTTATTCCCAGGAGAAGGTTTGTCCATAAGACTTGGGCGAGTCTTTGAGCATAGATTAAAGAAAACAGCAGAGAGACCCATTGGTAGAGGGAACCCAAGCTGGTGGTAAAATTATAAATATGGATTACAGAGAATGATGACACTTGGTTTCAGGTGATGTTCAGGTATTGTGCCAAGGAGCAAGTTTCATTCTATGAGGGTTACAGACCCTCAGCAAGGGCTTCTGTGGGTCCAGGTAGGACTTCAATCCCAGGAGGAAACTGGTGGAGCAAAGATGAGATAAAATAGATCATTCCCACAGACAAGGCCATGGGGGAGGGCTTGGTGCCATATTGGAGCCAAGCTCTCGCATCCTATTGGAGACCAGCAAGTGCATCCAGGTGGAAGAAGCCATGCTTGGTGGGACTGTTGGTGGCCAGCTTTGCACAGCTTCAAAAGTTGGGCCATGACTTACTGAATCAGCCAACTAGGTTGAAGAACCTAATGGGTGGTCCTATGGCCATCATAAGCTGAGAGAGAGATGGGACAAGTGTGTCAGGCTTGAATTCTCATAGTTCTCGGTTAAGGTGGGAAGCTGGACCACCAACCTTTCCTGTGCTTTTTATATTTTCAGTGAAATCCATCCCAACGCCACTGTGCAGTGGGAAGAAGTCTGTCGGCCATGGGTCTCAGGACCTCGAAAGCTGATTGCCAGCATGACCAGTGACACCCTGAGACATGTGTATGGAGAGCTGGACCTGCAGATTCAAAGACGACCTTCGATGTAAATGCCCAGGGGGCTCAGATAGACCTGGGCACCTGGCCTATTGCACTCTTGCTATGGAAATCCTAATGGCAAAAAAAAATTTGCTAGCTCTTTCTTTCTTGCTTTACTTTGGGTGTGAAGAATAAGGCATATCCCAGCATGGGGATGCTATGTATTTCAAAGACAAGCTTTGCCAAACCCAGGCCATTGGATGAGGGAGTTAGTTTTGAATTGCTCCACCCTCCAAAGGATCTGAGCATTAGCTTTAATTAAGCTATAATTAAGCCTTCATAGCTCATAAGAGTAAAAGTCATCATTTATCATTGCAAATGGCTACAGCTCCACATAGCAGAGGGCTTCCCTTGAGCAGGGGGGATACATCCAATACCTGGCCTCAATTAAGACTTCTGATTCTCCTCTCACTCTTTTGGGGGGTAACATACTCCTCCAAGGGAGTGCATGATTGGATCCTTACAATTCTATTCCCCTTTCTTAGAATCAGGTTGTACCCTCTGTGTTAAAATACTTTTTCCAGGAATTAAGCACGACATCATTTTTCTTCTTGGCAAAGCCAGAGAAAGGTCTTTCATCTTGCACCTGCAGCCAAGGAACTGCCTGCCAAATTTCACAGATTACCTTGTGAGAAGATGTGGCCCCACATTAACAAATTGCATTTGTGGGGAACTTAATCACCTAAGAGGAGATAAGGAAGCAGGTGCAGTGCTCAGATCTATTAAATAATGTAGTTTATGGTGCATTTTATAGGTGTCACATTGTGGCCTGATCAGCAAGAATGAATAACCATTACTTTAACCCTTTCTAGGATGGAGGACTAGAAAGTAAGGACGCCAATTTGGGATTGGAGAAATGAGGAATTAGTGTCCTTATTTAGTGGTTATACTTCGCCTGTCTCTCTGAGATCATGTCCTACACACAATGACATAGGCCTAAGTTCTTTTAGTTTTTGTTTTAAGACAAAAAATAACCTTGAGAAACTAGGAGATTTAGCAGTTAGACACATAGAAGACAAAACAGATTCTCATCCCCCCTTACCTTCATATTTCCTGTATCAAGCCCTTGCCTGAACCCTTGGATACTGAGAAGTAATGTAGACTCAGCCTTTCAAATGGCTAGTGTTACTATTGACCCAAGGGCAGAGGACGCAAAAATCCTTTGCCTTGTGTGCAAGGTTCCAACTGACAAGATTACTGGTGTCTATTTGTAAGGCAGATTTAGAGTTAGAATTTCCCCCTGAAATGCCGTGGGTGTGATTTTGGTCAGCTGACTGTGATTCTTAGCCAAAAAATTTTTTAAAAGTAAGAAAAATACATAGTAGGAAGTAAGTCGGGAGGAAGAATGCTTGACATAATGCTGTAGTCTTTATCCATGTTCTTCTAAACCATTGAGAGGTTCCTGCATCCTCAGTGCTAACCCCTGAGGGTCAGCAGACCCTTTCTATAAGCATAACTCCATGAAGTCATCTCAAAGCATTAGCATCTAAGTCCAAATGAAATGCATTTTGCTAGAATTTAAGCCAGCTTAACTTAGTATAGTATGTTGTTATTAATGAGAGTGTAATAGATGCCTATAATAAAGTTAATCTGATTACATGTGCTCAGAAGTAAATGGTGTTAATTTTCAACACTACATGTGGCTAAACTCAACTGCCTGGAAAATTCTTCTCCCCCTGCGGTGTGCTCTCCACCCTGAATAGGAGGACATGCCTTTGCCCTTTAGGTAAAATGACTAATCGTTATTGATGTTGCCATTAGCAGTCCTTGTCTTCTCTCTGCATTTTGTTAATCATTTTCACTGATGAAGGCAGTGTGCATGCTCAGCTTAAAAAACCAGCTTCTAGCAGTTGAAATTTCTCCATAGACATCTTATGCTTATGAACAATTTCACAAAACATCATGATGAGTGGTCAGATAGGCAGCATGGACATCTCTCAAGATAAGCTGCTATCATGGTGTTAGAACAGGAATGGAAAACATATAAGAAAGTATGTTCAGGAACACCTATGGTCATGGAAAACCACTCCAAATGACTGCAACTCAGACAGGGCCTTAGGATTCTTCTCCATCTCCAACAGCAACCGGTGTCTGATCTAGAGTTGGTACTCCAGGTGAAACCTGTTTACCACACCTATCTTAGAACCAGCCCATACCCATTGACAGCTTAGATTCCATAATGCACAATAATGCTATTGTAGTATGGATCTTGTCTTTAAAAGTTCAATGTAGTCAAGGCTTGGTCCTCTGCATGGCCCTATTAGGAGACAATAGACTCTTTTGGACATGAGGTCCAATGATGGGTGTACCTGTGTTATGATAAATCTTTCCACCAAAAGCTGCCTGAGGCCCACTGCCATGTGTGAGCTTTACGACAGCCGCCCTCCTGAGTTAGGCCCAAATGAGTACACAGAAACTTGTATTACATTCAAAACTGCTTGGCCAATGACCAGGATCCTCATCTGTTAGCTCAGTCTTAACTATCATAAACCTATATATTTTATAAGACTTATCAGACGTCTTATTGGTGTCCCTCCTTGCCGGTGGATCACATTGTGCCGCTGGAGCAGGAGTGGAGGGGAAAAGAGCGTCTTTCCTGTTTCTCCTTAGCTTAAATATGAGTCTCCTTGCTATGTCACTTCCTGCCTGGATCATCACTTCTCTACTACATTTCCCAGAATCCTCTTTGACTCCTAGTCTGGACTAACTTGCTGTCTCATTGGCCAAACAGTATTTTATTTAACAATCAATAAGATAAACATACACAGAAGTACTTTCCCCATCATCTCCTCTTTTCTGTCTAAATAAAAAGAAGGGTAACTTATCTTTTATAATAACTGAAGGAACCTATAACCATAACTATCTGTCTTTAACTCTATCAAAGACCACAGAAGGATAATATATAAACTCTAGAATTGACAGAGACATCCGCTACCTGGACAGTCACCCAAAATTCCTCTGTAACATTGGGGCATCCATCTTCAGCCCTTAGGCCACAGTGTGTCTGGAACACTTCTCCATTTCAACAGGAATCCTTCAGTACCGTTTTGTTTTGTAAGTTCAGCAGTCATCAGAGGAAATGCTGGTACTCCAGCCTCTTATTCAGTCTTTGATTTTTTTGGTCATAAGGTGAGTAATGGCTTTGCTTTAACTGTTTGCCCCAGCCATTATTTACTTACCACAGACCCAAAATCAATGGGGCCAATCAACCATGACTGGCACCTCTGAACTGTGAGTCAAAGGAAGCTTATCTCAGGTATTAGTTACAATACTTCTAAGTGGGATAACAGAAATGCTGCCTCTCACAGCCATATTTTAGCAATGATAACAAGCAAAGTGTCTTGGCAGACACCAGAGAATGGGAGTTCAAGCTTCTGCCTGTGTTCAGCTGCCATGATTTTAAGCAAATCCTTCTTTGAGTTCAGAGATTCAAGGTACAATAAGGGTAGCAATAGCTATATGCCCACAGCATTCTTCTATGGGGCATGCCAACATTAAAAACATATACAAAACAGATAGAAGATGTGTAGAGAGACAGACAGATAGATCAAATTAGACAGATTAGGACAGATTTTATGGTTTTCCATATGCTTACACCTCATCAATCTTGTAAAGAAAGCAAATATAACTATTTCCAGCCTATTCGTAAAGAATCCAAGAAGCTGTGAATCATGGCGAGTTGATCTTGGGTGATAACAAGCAGTGAAAACAAACTCTGGTTTCAGAATGTTCTTTCGTCTTGTCCTCTCCTCAGACTGAACACTAACTTTAAGACTCTGAAGACCTGCAGAACAGCACAAAGACATGCACACACATAAAACAGGAATATTAGGAACTAGGAACGATGGAGTTTGTGTTAGATTCGCTGGCAACTAAAAAGAAAAATGAAACACAATATCCCAAGTGGAAGGTCATCAATTATGGATGTGTATTCCATGTTATTATAACATGGTCAGATGTAGCAAAGTGTCATTCAGGGCAGATATCAGAGTCAATCAAGACAACCAAGGAGCCAGTCACCTTTCCTGTCATCTAGCCATCACCCTGCCATCAAGCCAAGTACGCAGCCATCCAGGCATCTGTCCATCCTTTTTCTCCAGTAATACACACCCATGCATGCAATGAAAAGTGCATGCTCCCTGCTCAGGAAGTGTTTATCAGGCAAGGGAGAATCAAAGCAGAGATGCAGAACAGGGCAACTCCAGCAGCACAGATATGCTACAAAAACTCAGGGGAATAAAGAGGGAAGGACAGAAGGACACCTGGAGACACCTTCCTTTGTTTCTATAGGAAAAAAAGGAGGAGAGGCCTAAATTGAAAGGGGAAAAACAAACAAAAGGTTTTTTCACAGAAAACGAAACAAAACAAAAAGCTTGTCTGATGGAGGGCAGAGGAAGCATGGCCACACTGACTTGTGTGACAAGATGGTGAAGGTGCTCTGAGGCAAGAAATGCAGGTATTGTTCAGAATTGAGCACTGGTCAGAGTGATATTGCTCTTTCTAGGGTATGTTTTGGAGCAGAACTAAGGCCAGGGGTATGTGGGGTGGAAGGCCTAATTCATATCAATTAAAAAGAAGGGATGGGAAATGGGGTGCCTTAGTGCCTAGTGGATAAAGTGAGAGGTGCAATGTAGGAGAGGGGAGTGTTAAAAATTAATGAAAGTATGACACACAAGATCTTAGCAGGCAAAATTGGGACAACCAGATAAATACGATGAGCAAAGATCACTCACTGGTAGTCCGGGATCTTGGGGATAGAGCCATGGTCCCTCTGTCTTCCAGAAAGTCCTCTCCCTCAGCACCAACTCCTGCTGAAGCACCCTGCTCCTCTTCCCACTTCGCAACTCTTTCACACGAAAGTTTCCCTTCATGTGCATCTACCTTTCTAGACTAAAAACGAAAAGCTTTATATTGAATCTGTAAGGATTCACTTTATAAAATTGGATCTTTAAAAAAATTTATTGATTGTTTTGGGAATTTCACATCATACACCCCAATCCCACCCATCTGC